GTGCATTTTTGAAAAATTTACAACGAAACAACTCATAAAAATTGTACTAAAAGTCCTAAAAATGATTTCTTACCAAAAATATGTAGTATTTTTGCCATTGCTTTGCAGAAAATGAAACCAAATTTGGACTGTCCGAGGTTGTTGAGGTCGTAAAAAAATTGCTAATCAATTATCAGTACAACCTGTCTAGTTTTTTTCCTCATTTTACCCAAAAAACAGCAAATAATGTGAAGTTGTGAAATATTGGTCTGGAATTATCCAAAAAACTAGCACCTTAAGCTAGGCAAAACCTACACTCTGTTTAAGGACTTAATAAAAATATTGTTAAGCCTGTACAATAAAAAAGTACACTGACACCGATTTGACCAATAATGGAATTCATTTGCGGACGCACTTGACCCCATTGGGATCGACTCCGAAGACCTTCTCCAGCTGCCCAATCCTGCGGCGATTTGTGCGTGTGTCAGATGAATTGCATTAGAAAGTCGGGACGGGATCGACGGACGGATCGGCGGCTGGCACTTTAATATGAGCCGCGGCACACTTGCTGACAAATTGCTGATAAATAAAGCGGGAGATTTGCAATAATGCCTTTCTAATTTCATGCGTCGCCATCGAGTTGCCTCCTTGCCTCCTTGCCATTGGGCTTTGCCATGCAAAGCGCACAAAAAAAAGCTCCAATCCTGGCATGGCGCCTCCATTGAGATCGCCAGTCGGTCCGTGTCCATGGCCCCGGCTCAGTTTTAAACATTTTCCACACGTAACGCGAAAGTTTGAATCATTTGTCCAGCGCACTACGCAGCGATTTTCATTTAAAATTCTTGTCACAGACATGTAATTGCAACGCGCCAACGACATCGTCGATTCCAACTCCGACTTCGATCCGACTCCATCGCTGTGGGCAACTCGGGAGCACTGGAAAAAATAATATGGGTATCCATCTAATTCACATAAAATTCCATTATCTGAAATTTCATTATATTATATTTCATTATCTGATATTTACTTTACTACTGACCACATTTTATTTCGGTTAATTGGTATCACTTAATTAGAAAACTAAATATTCGACAAATTATTCTTAATAAATAAATTTCAAATAAATTGAATGTTGCATTGTAATATAGATTTAAAATATTATTTTATTAACATATGACAAATATTTAAAACTTATTTGTGCCAAAAAAAAAAAAAAAATATGTTCGCTTTAAAAGTATTCAGCACTTTTATAAAATCAATTGAATAGTACAAAATTATTTCTTTTGCTTTTTACCTTTTATTTTATTTAATATTCAAAAATATGATTAGGGCTCACTATTTTAAAGCTTAGATTTTTTTTTAGATATTTTTGTATTTATAATTATTCATCTTTAAATACTAGATGTTTATTTTAAAAAAGTACCCGTAGAATGATACTTAATATTTTTTCTTGTGCAGACGGATCTATAGGTATTGACAATACTTTTGTCAGGCGCGATGGCCGCTACTGTTGGCCCCCTGCACCTCCTCCCTCACCCCCTGCTCCACTCCCCCACTTGGCCACTCGTCCCCCCTCCCCCTTAGTTCCCCTGCCCCCTTCCATCTTGCTGGCGCTCTGTGTTGACACAGATAAGTGCGTGGCGGCGGCGATAAGTAGCGTTTTATGCATTAATTTCTGCTCAAAAGAGCATTATTTATTACGCATTAATGCGCTGAATTAACGTTTATTTAATTAATATTAATGCGGCCGTCGCTCTTGCGGTTTGCTGCTGCTGCTGCTGCAGTAGATGTTGCTGTCGTGCAGCAGCAGTTGCTGCTGCATTTTGGCATAGATTTTTGGGTCAGACCTCGCCAGAGCAATCCTGTTAAACATTGTCAATAAACTGTTAGTTAACTCGGTAATCTAGTCATGTTTTAGATTTTAGAAAGGAAGCTATTACTGATTTTTTTATTACAATAAATTATTAATAATCTTAAAAACTTGCAGATAATGTTGACTATTTAATGTATAATCTTAACTCCTTTTTATTATTTAGAGATTTCTTGTTTAAAATAAAGTCAAATTGTTTTGCATGTTTTAAAACGATCTGCTTTTTTAGTCTTAAGTCTTACAAATAACAAATATGGAACAAATAACAGCAAAGTTTTTTTATTTTAACAGTAGATCAGTAAAATATAAATATGAATATATGTAAAATCTTAATTACAAGAATTTTTGGGACCACGAACAATTCTTGTTATAAATTGTCCAAATAAAATACAAATAAAAGTCTTGTACCCGAATAAAAAAATAATGACAAATCTTTCAGGACAAAGCTTATTTTAACGATAAGATTTTGAATTATATTTTATTGGTGTTTAGTTATTTCAAGGAATATTTCCAAAATTGTTTAGTTATGTGTCATTTCACTTGGATACTCTGAACCAGAACTTTATCGCCGCTGGTTGATCCCCAGCAGTGACCCTCGAGTTGTGCAAATATTTTACCACAAATCGAAGTGGCCGTCGATCTGGGATCCGAAAATGAAATTGAAATCGAAAGTAAAGTCGTCAGGCAAATACATCACTCGTTCGCCCCGAGATAGCCGAAAAGGAAACGGGCGTTTTTGATGGGCAAATATTTGCGCAATACCGATAAGGGTTTGTTGTTTTTTTTTCGGGTAATCGATCAGTGTCATGCGGGGGTGGGGTTGTGGACCTTGCAGCGCAATAAACCCAATAATTTATAGACCAATCACAGACCCAGTGCACGCACCGCGAACAAGTGAAAAAATCATAGTCCAAACACACATAGCGCATTAGAGGCGATCTCAACCGAAGGAGAACTCCATGGTCATGGTATAAACCCTGGTGGATGGGGGTGCAATTTATAGGATAGACAACGCACAGCGGGTAGTCGCCAGTTTCGAGTCCCGAGGAGCATCATCCCAGTACTTGCCTCATTGCCAATTGATTTATACAAACGGCAAAGCAACGGAACACAAATTGGCTGCCTCGAAGATCTTTCTTTTATTTTCTTTTATTTTATTTTTTATTTTTTGCAAAGCCTGCTATGGGAAATGATTTGTTGCACTTTGGCTGCAATCACAGTCGCAGTTGCGTATACGCAGAACTCTTCGGGTTCGCTGCTTAACCCTTTGACCTCCTCGCTGGGAGGGATCGAATGGGCTGAAATATACGATATATAGTATAGTATAGAAGAAGTAAACACGTGTGGCTCGCTTTTCCTCGGAAAAGCATTAGATATGATCGCTTTGCATGCCGGCTGCGTAGCTAATTAGAGCCATAAATGGCGTGGCCAAGGCAATCCCCCGGCGGAAAGTGAGATTGCCGGCAGGCGTTGGCAAAAAATGCCACACAAATGACAGCGGACCCGTTGCCCGTTTTTGGCCAAAGAAGTCCAAGTGGCAACGGGATAGACGGCCGACAAACACCAGTTTATCGGGCCGAAACGACCCAAAACAATAAATTACGCAATCCAAATGCTCAACTGCAGTCCATCAATGGCATAATGAGGCAGTCCCGAGATTCAGAGTCCCAGTCCCAGTCGCAGTCGCAGAGTAGATGCATTACCATATCGGCATAAATTCCGGAGCACATCGTTAAGTGGGCTGACGAGTGGCCGGCATCGCAGAAGACGTGTGCTGGAACAGGCTTACAGGTTGCTGCTTGCCGTCTGCCATCTGCCTCATGTTGCATGTTGCAGGTTGCAGGTTGCTCGCTGCAGATTGCTGCTTGCACACTTGCCACATGCCAGGCGGCTGCCTCCACCTAACTCCCACAGCTAATGAGGGAATTACCCGCAATGCCAATGCCACATCGATAATGGCTTGTGCCCGTCCTCAAGTGGGGTTTAAATCGGTGGAGGAGGGGGGGAGGATGACCTTTGGGGCTGGCGCCTGCTGCCTGGATGGACTTTAAAGGGCCACTCAACTAATAATTCAACTCGTGCCTTTAATGATTCAGTTAACTACAGTTCGAAATGTCATGCTCTGTAGTCGGTTAAGGTGTAACTATTTTATAAGGCCCAGTACTCAAAACACAAAAATTACTTTTAAAACAATAAATATTTTAAAAAACGTTGAAATATGATAATGGAACAGAACAAGCCTATGGGATTACAAGTGCAGTTTTTGGACGCATTTCTGCTAAACAATTTTCGAAAATTTGCAATTTGAATTAGACAAAAAATCGACCCAAAAAAAAAAGTGAGAACAGATTTTTAGAGAATTAAACCACAATCATTTATAAGTCTGCCACTTTGAAATCGGATGTCTGTAAGAAACGTTACGGGCTTGGAAATGCTGGTTTCAGATAACTTTTCTGCAAAGCGATTTTTTGAAAATTTGGAAAGGGATAACAACATCATTAAAATGACGGAAAATATAACCCAAAATACAAAACAAACTGAAAACACAGATTTTTAGAGAATTTACCCACAATCATTTTGAGGTATGCCACTTTGAAATCAGATGTTTTTAAGAAAAGTTATGGGCTCAGAAGTGCAGGTTTTGGACCTCTTTTCTGCAAAGCCGTTTTTCGAAAATTTGGAAAGGGGTAACATCATTAAAATGACGGAAAATAGAACCCAAAATACAAAACAAACTGAAAACACAGATTTTTAGAGAATTTAACCACAATCATTTTGAGGTATGCCACTTTGAAATCGGATGTCTGTAAGAAAAGTTATGGGCTTAGAAGTGCAGGTTTTGGACCTCTTTTCTGCAATGCCGTTTTTCGAAAATTTGGAAAGGGGTAACAGCATTAAAATGACGAAAAATCGACTTCAAAATACAAACCAATTTAAAAACAGAGATTTTTAGAGAATTTAACCACAATCATTTAAATGTCATTTGTAAAGCGGATGTCTGCAAGAAAAGTCATGGGCATAGAAGTGCAGTTTTTGGACATTTTTCGGCAAAACCATTTTTAGAAAATTGCGGAAGGGGTGACATCTTAAAACTTAACGAAAAATAGACCCCAAAATACGAGCCAAGTTGAATATACAAATTTGTATATAATGCAATGGACTTTTCTGTACTTTTATTTACTCGTTCTAATTTCATACTATCACTTTAAATTTGAATACATTAATTGTCAAAAGTTTTGAAAATGTTTCCAATAAAAATAGCTGCATGCAAATTTGTAAATTTACAAATGATATTAAAGAATCTATATCAATTGATGTTGCTTGAAAAAATCTAAAAGGCGGTTCGGTTGTGGGGTCTACCCCGGTATCACCTTCGCCTCCTTACTCCTTAATAATTTTTCATATGGAGAAGATGGTGCCTTACACCAGGATAGTTGTGCCAGTGACTACGGAAAATATGTCCTTCGCGGAATTTCATCTTAGCTTGGCAGCGAAATGGTAAATGCATCGATCAGCGACAGGATAGGTCCAAAATTTGGTCCAATTATTTTGAATTATCTGTCGAATTGAGTTATTGAAAAGAGTGTTTGTATTAGTCTGTTCTAAAATTTTACTTACCAGTGCAATTTGAGATCACAAAGCCGAAGAAATATTTCATAGGTATTGTGCAAAGGATCACAAATAATAATTTCTGGGAATAGTTTTACTAATTCCATACTATTACTTTGAATTTAAATACATTAATTGCCAACAAAGTTGTGCAAATTTTTCACATGAAAATACCTGTAAGCACATATGTATGTAAACTTACAAAAGATATTAAAATATCTATTTCAAATGATGTTGCTTAGAAAAATCTAAAAGCAGGTTCTTCTGCGGGTGCATCTCCAGCAAGAGTGGTGATGATCGCGGCGGTGGTGCCTTCGGTTGTGTCTTCATCGGTTTCATCCTGAGTTGTGGTCTCGTCGCCTCCGCCATACTCCTTAATCATGTCAAATATCGAGAAGACGGTGCCTTGCACCAGGATAATTGTGCCAATGACTACAAGGAATATGTCCTTCACGAGCTTCCACTTCAGCTTTCCGTATGTATAGTCCGGTGGATAGTACAAACAGATCTCGATCAAGGCGGGAAAGACCAGATTCAGCAGCGATATGGTAAAGGCACCGACCAGCGACAGCAGGGGTCCCAAATTCGGGGCAATTATCCCATTTATTGTGGAAATCAAGACAAAAACAACACGTAGAATATACTCCTTTAGCACCGGATTCTTCAGTTCCCCATTTTTGTTCCAGTAATGAGTCATTATAATGTTGATAACCACGTAACCGGACAGCGGATATGTCAGGAAAATAGCCGCGGCTATAAAAGCCTTGGCGATCTGTGCAATTCTATCAGTTTGATTTGTGGTTAGTTACAGAGAAACAGGCCATTATTAATTATTATGATATGCTATTCGAATTTCAGTGTACTCATAGATCTTTAAAATATTTAATGTGATGGAATATTATATCATATTTGTTAAGTCATGTATCATATGACTACATAATGTGTCTTATTTACATACTATATTTAGATAAGATAAGATCACTAAAATTTAAGATTATAACACAAAAAAGGAAAACCTATTTAATATTTATCAGAATATTTTGCAAAACAAAAAAATGTAATTTAACTTAATTGACACCCATTTTTTTCTGGCGTTTCCAGAAAGAGACCATATAAACTATATAATTTATCGATTTTGTTAAACTTACATTTCATCTGTGGGTATATTAAGAGAGACACTGCCCTCTATTTTATCCCCGAATTTCCAATAGCCCATGATTCCAAAGAAAATATATGAGATCAAGACCAAAAGTATGGCCCTATTGAGGATGCCAAACCAACCGATGTAATGTTCTGGCTTGGCCATTTGAGCTTCTATGGCCATCATCTGGGAAAGTGTTTTTAAGGTTTTGGACTCTATAAAGTTTATACAATCACTTCAAGGACTCACCACGCCCACCGATGTGATGGAAAACAGTGCGATGCCAAAAAACAAGGGCAACTTCTCGACTGCGCCAAAGAATATGGCTCGATCCGATATCGGAGGCAGATCCGTAAACAGATAGTACATCATCATTATAAATCCCACATATATGAGGATATTGGCCACTATATTAAAGGGCACCAGATACTTGAGTTGGCGAATCATAAAGGGGGCGATCATGAGTAGTCCAACGACGGCAATGAAAGCTCTCAGATCAACCACTCCCAAATAGAAGTCAAAGATCTGCTTATAGTTGACTGACACAAACACGATGTAGACCACACAGACGCCGTAGTGCGAAAAACACAAGACTATGTCGACAATCCAACCTCCGGCCTTTGCGCAATACCGGAAGCACTTGGGTCCCTGGCTAAAGGAGTAGACCATCGACTCCGGATAGGTGGCATATCCCACCTGCATTCGCCGCGAGCACTCCACCATGCTATAGACCTATGTAAAAATAGATTAAGAAGGCTAAATAATCATATGTTTAGTCATCTAAAAAACTCACCAGCAACTGAATGCCATGGATTAGCATGATACACACCAAAGTCAGCAACACAACGCCGTTGACGATGCCAGCAAAGTAAAAAGCCAAGGGCAGGGCCAAAATCCCAGTTCCCACCACGCACTTCAGAAGCAGTATAAAGGCTCCAAAATCACTGCAGAAAAATTTTTAAAAAATAATAAAATAATAAAAAATAATAAAATAATAAAATAATCGAACAAAAATCTTACGATATCGGATTGGCCACATTTCGATTCTCATAAGGATTGTAGCCTCTGTGGATTGAAAGTTCAGTAAAAAGTTATTTGCAATCTGCATTTCTCATTACCCTTTATCGGCCATGATCAAAATTTATTTTCGTGTTTTTATTTAAGCACTGATTGAATTGTTTTGAAAAAAAACTAATAGAGTGTATATGTCTCAAAGACTTGACATTCTTTTCAATGGTACTGGGGTTTTTTTAAAAGAAAGGGATATATTTAAAGCTTATTCAGGAATTCCATCTAAAGTTGCCTTTATAAATAAAAAAAATTAAATTTGATCTTTATAAATCCGTTAACGATGTCAACAACACTAACACTTTATAAACTACAGGAATAAAAAACAACTACAATTCAATTAGCAAAGTTTATTTAATTGGTACATCAACTCCCGTCTAATAAAATGTACTAAGATCACAAAGAAATGGGATAGCGAGCTTGGAGCGTCCGCAGGGTGACCACTGTACCGGCAACTCCTCCAGCCAAACCCACACAGATGAAAAGCATCGATCGGAGAAGAAGGATCCTTGCAGGTCCGTATCCCTCCTCATAGTGAGCGCAAAAATCCACGATTCCCGGCAGGATCAGTCCCAATTGGGCCAGGCAAAAGGATCCCACGAAGGAGAGGAGCAACCCAAAGTCCGGATATTGGATGGCCATCAGGACGGAGGCGATAACCAAAGCGATTCGCACCAGGATCTCCACTGCCTTCGAAGCACCATCCTCCAGTTCCGGCTCCAAATAACTCCTGAATATAATATCCACAGTAACGTAACCTTGCAAAGGATAACTGAAGAATATTGCCAGGGCAAACATTCCAGCCACCAACTGGGGGAGGCTATTGAAAAAGAAAATAATTTCATAAAATAAATATTGTATTGTTAAGACTAAGAATACTTACATTTCGTTTTCTGGTAGGTTTTGCAGAACCGAGTTTTGCGTGTATTGTCCGTAACGCCAGTAACCAAAAAATCCAAAGACCACATAAAAAATAATTACCACAAACATTCCCCGATTGAGAACTCCACAAGTACCCAAAAAATTATCTGGGGTTCGCATATTGCGACCAAGGGCTAGGAGCTAGAAATGTAATGAAAAATAGTGGCTAAAAATATTTTAAAAATTCATTTAAATATTAACTTACCACTCCAACCGATTCGATGGCAAACAGTACGATGCCAAAGAAAAAAGGAAAGTTCTTCAACGGCTGAATGGCATGAAGTTGATCAAACCTAGAAAGACCCCGGAAGAAGTAGCTTAAAATTATAAAAGAGCCTAGAATTGAAAGATTAAGATAAAGAAGTATAAGTATAAAAAAACATGTTATCTTAAGGTTTAAAAACATACCCACGAATATCAGAATATTGGCTATTAAGGCAAATGGCACAAGACTCTTCAGATCTCGTATTATAAACGTTAAGGTCAAAGGCAAAGCGAGCAAAGCCATGTAGAGTCTCTCATCCAAAGGCCACAAGTATATATCCCCTAAATGCTTTAGACTTTTGGCTATAAAAACCACATAGACACAGTCCACTCCAAAGTGATAACCACAGAGCAGGACATCCACTAGGTATCTAAATGAGTAAGTTTGATTATAGCAAGAAAATGTATTCTAATTGTTAAACAAAAATCTTAAAAAATTAAAGCTAGTTTAAAGATTAAGATTCCATAGAGAAATTAATCTAAACTTACCCAAAAGGTTTGCTTAAAAACTGAAACTTTGGTGGTCCAATGCTGAGAGCCAGTTCCACGACATTTCGATAATTAAGTAATGGCATCTTAAAGCGCTCTCCTAGGGAATTAATATGCTCGAGCTGGAAAAGAGTGTTCTCCTTTGATGAAAAGTTATCTGATTAGAGGTAATACCATTACCAGAGTATGCATTGCATAAAGTACAAAGAAGCTCAGAGCGACAGTACTTATAAGACCCAATAACCATCCGGAAAACAGGAAAGCCTGTGGCATGGCCAAACACCCAGTTCCAAATCCACACTTGAGCACATTGATGAAGGTCTCAAAATCTCTTAAAGAAAGTTTTCAATATTAGGTACTAAACAAGAAGTGGAGTTATATCCTTACGACATTTTATTATCCCTTTCCAAGGACAAACGAGCTTGATAGGCCAGCGGAGATCTGTGGGAGATTTCGTATTAAAAGCACCTCAATTACTCACGCCCAATTTGACGCACCCGAAACTCTTTTGGACACCACCTAGAAGCCTCTGGTGGAAGGGCAGCTCCTGGTCTAAGCGTCGGTGGCTGGTCAACTTCCTCTTCTTACGCTCCATTTTGTGGAAAATTGAATCACTCGAAAGGGAATTATTATTTTTTTCAGAGAGGGGAAGTCAGCGCCGACTTTGGTCTGCAATTATGCAAATGTGGATCACAGATCCCTCGGGTTATGATCTCTGGTTATGATCTGGAGTTGGAGGACCATCTTCCAGGAAGGGAAGGTGGAGGTGGAGGTGGAGTTATTAGCATGGCCCAAAGCGGCGACTTATTCCAGGAAAAAATCCAGCTCATCGCTGGTGTGTGGGCGTTGTTGGCCTGGCCAAGGAATTCGCTACCTAAATTATTCAATGGCCTCGGGGTCTTGGGCAAACTAATTAGTGTGGCCAGTACGGGCATTTTTCAAATGCACAAACCCCCCACCCCAATTGGCACCTGGCCATAAATTCACCGGCCTTGGGACGGACAATCTACAGTTTCTAGTTAAGTCTCCCCACTTTCCACCTCCCACTTCTCACTATCTCTGTCTTTGTCATTGTGTGGGGCCGATTGCCCGCTGTGAACCACCTCCTCCTTTTTACTTTGCAGTGCCGAATCGAAAATGCAAATGTCCCCTCAACCGCGAAAAGTAAGTACTCTCCAGGGGCCAGAAGTCAACTAAGCTGATTTGTTTATTTTACTCTTTCTTTTTGCTATTTGCGATATTTTTTAATGTTACGTGATAAGTCGGCTTTGACCTCGTACTTATATCTGGCAGAACAGAAAATGAAGATAATTTAGACCTCTAAACTTCGACTGGTAGGCTTAGGTACTTACTACTATTATTTTATTTATTATTTTATTTAAAATACTTACACCTAGGATAATTAAAATGAATATAACCTCATCAAAGTTTTGAAAATTTTTGACCCTCTTCTCACAAGTAACCAATTCTCATTCAAAAAATCGAGTGTAATGATTGCTTCAATAGATTTTTAGAATATTTTTGTACGACTTAAATTGCAACAAATTGGTAACTGGTAAACACTCTCTTTGAATCAATTAATTGATGAAAGCTTTCCCATACTTGTTTATTTAATTGATAAAAATCGTCTTCCAAAATTGTGCTTTCTTTAAATGTAAAGATAGTTTTATTGTTAAACTAAATTTAATATTTTAAAATTATATTTTTATTGAAGAGAAAACAAAACTTAACTAACTTAACAATTTAAAATGTATTTATTTATTTGACACTTGCTTAATAAATTTTTACCATCTTGTTTCCAATAAATAAACCTCAGTAAAACATGACTGATTTTTTCTGCGTGCAGGGAGGGAACGGTTGATGTTGCTGCTGCTGCCGTTGATGTTGCAGTTGCAGTTAGATGTGGCGCATCATTAAAGTGCAGACAAATGGCAGCGCGGCATGTGCCGCACATGTCAGTCTGCACAAGCTTTAGCAACAGGTGAAAATGCTGGAATTCTGATTATCCACTGCTGCTGCTGCAGTTGCTGCTGCAGTTGCTGTTGCTGTTGCGGTGATTGGCAGCAACTGTTGCTGCTGCGGCAGCTAACTTAAACTGTAACTTTCAGCGATTTGTCGTCGTTGTCGCTGTCGTTCTTCTTCCACTGGCACTTGGATGTTGGCCAAACCAAAACTATCGACCAGACAGCAGCAACATGCGCATAATTATCTACCTGCCCGCCGGCAACATGGGGTGCAACATTCCTCCGGCCACGCCCCCAATTCAATTTACAGCCGGAAGTGTGGGTGTATACTTATTTGATATACATTCGCGGTCCGATCGCTGTTCTCTGTTCTCTGTTCTCCTTTCGCGAACTCATTTGCTGCTTCATAAATCAAAAATCGCAGCAAGCAACTCCCGCATAAAAAAAGTAAAACCCAAATCAACAGTATGAAAAACGCATTTAATGATTGGCCAACAGCAGCAACAGTGCTCGACAAGCAGCAACATCGAGAGCAGCAGCAACAACAACAACAGCAGCAACAGCAACATAATAGGCCCATCTAGAGGCAACATTCGCGTACCAGCAAAAAGTGGGAGGATGCAGTGAATTTTTCCTCGCCCCGCAGTGATGGTTTTTTTTTTTTTTAATGCCATTTGTTGCTGCCGCTGTAGATGTTGCTGCTGCTGCTGCTGCTGTTGTCGGGCCGTTTGCCTTTTTGGGGCCCGTGAGGCATTCGCCTAAGCGGCAGGTTCCTGTCTGCCCCATCCAAAGAGACGTTGACTGCATTTTTAAGCGCGCTCCGCGCATAAAATAAAGCCAGATTGCAGGTCTTGCCTCGGGGCCATCATCCTCCTGTTTGCTGCTTGAATGGGGCGAGTAAAAGTGCAGGATGCTTTGTTGTCCTGCCCCTGGACCCAGCCCATCCAGGTCCATTCCAGAGCCCAAACTCCGGCACTCGGAAGAGCTTCTGCAGATACGGCAGCTAATTTTCGATGGGCAAAAAAACAAAAAACACAACAAAAATCTGAGAGAGGAGCATCTGAGATCTTCGAGCGATAATGATGCAGGTTAATCATTAGCCTGGTACGTGTATTATGCGATTATTAGTTGGGTGTTCGGCTCTTACTTCATCTTCATTCTTTTTTCGCGGGGATTACCCGCAAGCCAATTTTTTGGTGGGCGTTTGCTCTGCTTTTCGAGAATTTTTCAGTAATTTCCAATTTCCGTTCAATGTTGCATCTACATGCGGCCAATTTGTCAACGCGGCGGCAGCATGTAGCTGCAACATGTAAGTTGTCAACGTTTTTTAAGAATCAATTGCCGCCCAGCAGTAGTACGAACGAGTACTGCTGGAAATCCGATATCGGCCGAGCCCGCCTTCTCGGCTGCCGTCTGTCAGCATATAGGATATACCATATTGCATATATATATATACATATATAGATAGCCCCGCCGGATGCCACACAAGCGGATCGAAAAGGCGGCCTTGAACGGCAAAATCCCAAGTAAGTACTTGGCAAAAATCATTGCAGAATTTAAATGAGCCGAGCACACAAGCACACATTCACACACAGAGGGGCACAAATATTTTTTGAGGGCAAAAAGCCCGCTCAACTGACGTGCAACATGATTTTGTAGGCGTGCAACATGCGCATGCGCAACAGCCGCAACTTTATCAGATTCTGCGCTCTTTTTAGCATTATTTCTGTAATTTTTTTCGCCTGCCTCGCCGGCATGTTGTTGACTGTCAATTGTTTGGTGGGCGTTGCAGCAGCAGCAACCAGCAACTAGCAACAATAGTCGGGGCAGCAACAGCAGCAACAAACTCACTGTGTCCCACAGTCTGTAGCCAGACTTTTGAAGCTATATCAATGTCAACAGCATTATCACACTGCGCTGTCAATATGCAAATGCCTAGAGCAAACCCAGCGACAACAGCAACAAGCACTTGCCGGCCCAAGTAGCAACAGCAACAACAGCAACTACATTCGCCAGCAAAAAGACAAATAAATGCTTGTTGCAGGCGATTGTTTTTCATGTGTGCGTATGTGACACTCGTTAACACGAAGCGAAAATGCGCGAAATGCGATATTTCACACGATTTATGCACGGACAACGACAAAAGTTGCAACTGCAAGGGGCAGCCACAACAGCAACAACAACAACAGCGAAAGCCGCAGGAGCAGCAGCAGACCACACATATTGCATGTTGCCGGTGGGGCAGCTTAAGTTGCTGCTGCTGCCGGCAGAATATGAAATACGCAGCAACTGCGTTCCGAAAGCAACCCTCCATTTGTTCAACTTAATTTAGACTCCCAGGAAAACCGATTGGAAAGTGAGTTCTCCTCTAGAACTAGTACTACATAGAGATCGTTTAGAGAGTTGCTGACAACCAATGTTGCTGCTGTTGTGTCAATATGGCATAGGGGCAATAGGATGACTTTAAAGGCTTAAATTGCCGACAGAAAAATCAAAGTACTATCTTCAATTTTAAAAGAAATAATTCTTAATTTATTAAAGTTGAATTTTGAAGTTTTATTTGTTTCTATATGTTTATTTGTGGTTGAATGACAAAAGGAATGCATTTTCAAAACCTTAGTAAGGACAATGTATAAAATATACAAAGCATATTTATTTTTTTCAATTTTTCTGGAAAGCAGAGAGTAACGATAAAATACTAGAAAAGTAGCCCATCCGAACAAGAAACTGATAAGAACTGATTAGACCTCTTGGAATAAATCAGTGCTGCCATATTCCACGATGTTGCAGTTAGCAGCAGCAATGCGACGTGTTGCTGCCGTGCCAGTGGCAACTAGAAAACAGAAAAAGAAGAGGCACATTGGAGTGCAGCCGCTTTAGGAGTAGGAAGCTGATTAGCCAGATCAGAGCTGCCAAACCAAACAGTGGCGATTGCTAATGGCCAAGTTGCTGGCGTGCTAATTTGACAGCCGGGCCAAGTTGCAGCGAGGGAGAGAGTGACTCCGCCGAGATTTATGCGCTGCCAATTGGCTGTGGCAACATTTGCCCATATACATAATTGAAACGTAATAAATTCTGTGATGTTGCTGCTGTTGCTGCTGTTGCTGCTTTTCGTGCACAATTAGCGGCTGCAACTAACGACAATTGCTGACCATTTTCCATGACTCGCCGTCCGATTATTAAATAAATAATTTCATAGCGCTGGTATAGCAGTGACCACTGCCTTTGCTGGTTTTACAAGCTGTAAAGTGCGAAATCAACACGCTTCATGCCAACTACAGATCGCTGAAACCAGGGAGTACTCGTACTCGTACTCAAACTCGTGCCCCATTCCTTTCCTGATCCACTGTCCAATGTCCACTATGTTAGTTGTCAACACAAATGGCAATCGGCGTTGATAAATTGTTGCTGCCTTGGGCCAATTATAACCGTCTTTGGGCCTGGCTGAATATAGCCGATAGCCGGCAATCTGACAGTCCCCCTTCCGTCCAATAGCCGATTTGCTGATTTACCCATTTGCCGATTTATGCCGATCATGTTGCCGATGTTGCAAGGCTTTGCATGCAGATACAGATACCAACCGGGTTGCCTTTCCTGCGAAGCCCCGCAAGGAGGTTCCACTGTGCTTCCG